ACTGAACGGTGGAATGACTGGTCAGCAGGGGGTGGGGCTGGAAAGCAGGTGGCACCAGACCCGCCAAGGCGCATGCCAGCGGCAGAGGGAGGGGACAGCAATGGGGGGAGGGGCGATGGTGACCAGCGCGGGGTGATGGGGGCCAGCACCATCCCCTGATCGCCCACCCGGTCGCTTCCCACAGAGGGAGGCCACGGGCAGCAGCAGCGGCAGCAGGGCAATTTGGGGTGGAACTGGCCACTGGCTGTCCCCAGATCAGCCTGCTGGGGTCGCCTCCCGCAGAGGGAGATCACCAGCGGTGGTGGCACAATGGGGGGCGGGGCCGGCCACTGGCCACCTGCGCCATCCCAACAGGCCTGCTGGTCACCTCCGCAGAGGGAGGCCAGACTGTGGCTTAGGCCCTGCTTCCTGGAGGGATCGGGCCTAAGCCATCAGTTGGACATCCCCTGAGGGCTCTCGGACTGCGAGAGGGTGCAGAACAGGCTGAGGGACCTCCCTGAGTATATGAATTTTTGTGCACCAGGCCTCTAGTGTAGGAATAAAATGTCTGGAATTTTTAAATAACAGGAAAAAAAAGTAATAAAATACAGAAGAGCTGAAGCAAGTATGACAAAATTTTTTACTAAATGAAACTGTGGGATAGGCATATGGGGAGTTTTTAACTGACAGAAAATTTACAGATCATAAAATCACCCTCTGAAAGTGTCAAATTCAGTGGTTTTTAGTATATTCACAAGGTTGTACAACCATATTCACTCTAGTTCCAAAAGAGTGTCATTGCTCCTGAAAAAAAACACTGTACCCATTAGCAGTCACTCCCCTTTCTCCCTTCCCCCCAGGCCTTAGTAACCACTAATCTACATCCTATCGATTTGCCTTTTATGTATCTATAGATTTACCTATGGATCAGTAGAATTATACAACATATGGCCCTTTGTGTATGTCTTCTTCACTTAACATAGTGTTTCCAAGGTTCATCCATATTACAGCGCTTATCAATACTACACTCCTTTTGATGGCTGAATACTACTCCATTGTACGGATATACACTACATTTTGTTTATACATTCATCAGTTGATGGAAATTTAAGTTGTTTCCATTTTTTGGCTATTGTGACTAATGCTGCTATGAAGATTCATGTTAAAGTTTTTGTATGGACATATATTTTCATTTCTCTTCGGTATACCCTTAGGACTAGAATTGCTGAATCACATGGCAACACTATACTTAACATCTGAAAAACTGTCAAACTATTTTCACAGCAGCTGTACCATTTTACAGCCCTACCAGCAATAGATGATGA